ATATATATATATATATATATATATATATATATATATATATATATATATATATATATATATATATATATATATATATATATATATATATATATATATATATATATATATATATATATATATAATATAAATCAATAGGGTAAACAAACAATAACACTCCAAATCTTTAAAATCTGTTAACTGTTACGAAACGTGTTGAGTGGTTGAGAACAATGACTTTTAATTAAATTTCAATTCGGAAAACATAGAAGTGACATCAAGCTTTAAAGCTTGAAGACTGCAGTAAAATTGAGCTTATTTTTAGGGAGAAAATACCCTAGCAACCATGTTAAATACTTAGTATCTCTGTTGCTAAGGAAAAAAAGATACATAGTGTTTTAATAAATTGCTCATATCTAAAGAAAAATAAATTATTTAGCTCTGAAACTTTGGCTAAACATTCTTTAATTAATTTGACACATATTTTGTGCAAAATTGAAAAACTCAAAAAAAATTTTAGTTTCCTAATATTTTTGGTGTTGTACCACCTTAAATAAAACCTTAACAAAAAAAAAACGGGATTTTAAATTTGAACGATCGCGAATATTTAAAAACATTAAACTTTAAAACAATTATATATTTTACTTTAAAATATAATAAGAGCAAGATTTTCCATTGTTCTTTGTGGCGTTATCCTTGCATTAGGTTTCCTTGGAATTCCCTTCGAAAAAAAGCAATTTAACAATTTAATTTAAATAAAAGCACACAATTTTGCATTTTTATCTCCGTGACACGCTTTCGGAATCAAAAATAAGAAGTATCAAATCAGTTTGTTATTAAATTTGTGATATAAATTATGGGCGGGTTTAGGGAGGGGGTCCTAACTCAGACTTTTTTCAATCACTTTTTTCAAATTTTAATTTCTGACGAAATAAAGTTTCTTTCGGTCTAGTTTAAACTATCATTTAGTAAAGTAAACAGCATGAGAAAAACTAATTCATGTGACTATTTGTTAAAAAGTCAAAAAATATTTTTTTGCCCTCCCCACAATAATTTCTGAATTCGCCCCTGATATAAATGGTGCTTCAATTGTATTGTGAGAAATTGAAGGATCATGAATTTGCACTTAAATTGATAACACTAAATGGTTTTATAGTTATTAATTATATGTAACATGTGGTATTATGGAGATATACAACTTATGGTTTAGCGAGGAAGGGGTGTGCCAAGGATGATGGGGGGCACCGGGAAATTTCCCGGTTTCCCGGTGGGCCAGTCGGCGTCTGAAAAAAATGATCCGCAGGGTATGTAAAATAGGGCATTTTGAGCGAAATAAAAAACAAATTTTATTTATTCTAAAGAGGGCCGCCGAGAGGGAGGAGCCACCGGGACAGTGTGCCCCGGGCGGCAGATATCTAAGGGGCGCTAAATGAAATTTAGGTGTCTAAAAAAAAAAAAAGAGTTCCTTCATATTTAATATAGGAAAAATTTGATAAATAAGGGCGCCAATCAAGATTGCTGTCCTAGGCGGCGTGACAGCTCTCGGCGGCCCTGATTCTAAATCCAGCCCTTTCAATAATATCGATGAATAAACTGTGAAAATTTTAAATAATAGTTTTTGAGATATTTGTGTTCTAGTTTTAGAAATATTCAAAAAGTGGAAAATTGAGAAAAAAACTTTTCAGATAAAAAAAGTTATAAATTAAAAAAATCAATCATTAAAATCATCAGAACTGGCCAGGACAATACGAATTACTATCCTCAATCTCTGGCTCTTTGTCCATAATTAATATTAAACTATAAAAATAATTATCTTGACATATAAAAAAAACTTGGAAGTTTATTACCAAGAATAATTATCAACATACTTGTAAAACTAACTAAAATCGTAAACCACATCAAATGTTGTTTAAGTTTGTGACTTATCTCTTCGTAAAAACAAAGACCATCGCAGAATAAGTCATTTGTGAACTTATATATATAGAACTAGACTTTAAATTAGGGCTAAAACAAAAACAGACACGGTTGCAGAGATTATTGCTAGGGATTCGAAAGCTACTTTGTTGCCTTTGAATACTAATTTATAGAGTTTGTATAAATTTTAAAGAAAAAAAATCATACTTGTGATGTTCAAACTGTTAAAATTTGAAAATTTTTTTTTTTTGTTTTTGATGTTTTTAATAGAGTAGTACCACCTTAAATAAAATATATCAAGTTCCACTATATTTAATTTAAGTTAAAAATTGATGAGCAAGCTTTTTTTGAAACATCATAACTGTAGTGATCATTAAAATATAATATCTTGGTTTGCAAAAAAGTTCGCATTTTATAGGTTCGCGGTTTGCAGTTTGCATTTTACTGACTAACCCGAATTCACATTTAGAAATGACACAATATGGTCACAATAAGGATAGAGCACAAAAGAACTCGAATATGTTATCAATTAAAAAAATAACTTTTTTCAGTTCATTTTTGAAAAGAAGAAAATTCCAACTTTGAAAAAAATCAAATATTTTTAAAATTATTTGGTTCCGCAGAAAAGCTCCGCGTTATGATATAAGAGATCTTCCAAAATTTTTATGCGAATAAAGTTTATGAATAAAATTGCCACTTTTTAATAAAATTGCCCTTTTCATATTTGTTTTTGGCTTTTTTTTGCGTATAAATTTTGAAAGAACATAGGCGTTAAGTTTATTTTGCATTTGCACATAAAGCAAAGAAAATAAAAACATTTAGTTGATATAGGGTAAACTGACCTAATTCTGGCCACTTTGTATTTATTATTTATAAAATAAATTTCCATCGCGTAGTATAAAGAAACAAATTTGAAATTTCAATTAACGATTAATATAATTATATAAAGATTTAAAAAAATTGAAGTTAATATGTGTTTAAGCATCAGTTTTTTAAATGATAAAGAAATTCACAAGTTAAAAGAATTATTGATCAATTTACAAGATACACATAAATGCATATACATTTTTAACAATATAACTTTCCAATATTATTTACAGTTAAGCGATTTACAAATGTTTTATAATTTGAATGTTATCATAAAAACTTTGAAAATACCAAACATTGAGTTTGGTAATTTCAAAGTTTGAAAAAAATATCAAATATTTTAGGTATGCACAAAGTTTCGGTATGATTTTTCCATGTCAATGAAAACACCAAGAAAATGTATAACTTTTGATTACTTTATTTAAATATTATCAATATATATTTGAGACATCACTTCGTAAAATATGTTTTTTGGATTTTGTCTGAAATAAAGTCCATTTAGTTTTTTTTTCTATGTTTATTGATAGTTTATTTGATTTAAACCAGTTTGAAATTTTTATTAGCTCATGCCATAAAAAAGTTTTAAGATATTATTATTGCACAGAAAAAACTACGAAACCTTAAAAAAAAATCTTTTATAACTTACAATAAATTGGTTAAACAATTTTGCACTTTATACTTGATTATACAAAATAAATGTAAATAATTTTAAATGTGATCAATTTGATTTAAAGATCAACTTTCTTTAAAATAGTTTTACTCAAGATATCGTTGGCTTAGCATAGAAACAGACCACTGATCTCTATAATAACTGGATAGCGCAACTCTGAACAAAATTTTGAATTTTTTGACGCCAAAATCGCCATATTGGAAAGCCCCAGATATTTGAATAAGTAAGTCTTTTAAAAAATAAGTAAGCCTTTTAAAAAATTTATTTATTATTTTCATTTTAAAAAAACCTTTAAGTAAGCGTTTGGCTTAGTTTTTCGACTAATCGCTTTAAAATCAGATTTCAGCTAAGTTGAATATACAATAATGTGCGGATTAAAAAAAGATCCCTGAGGTTCAGAGTGTTGTGCATATGGGTGCAAAAAAGGAAAAGAACTGAAGGTTAAAGAAGCAATATTTTAGGAAGTTAATATAATAATAATATTATTATCTACAATAAATCTTATATAGTTATTTTTATAGATATCAGTTCTTAATTAACATTCATATATATATATATATATATATATATATATATATATATATATATATATATATATATATATATATATATATATATATATATATATATATATATATATATATATATAATATATATATACACACACACAAATAGATAGATACAAATGTAAATCAGTATGCACCTTTTGATTCTTAATTACCCTCTGCAAAATGCCTGAGTCTTGTAACATATTTGCAAAGTAAACAGCTTATTCATTGTTGTATGAATCATTAGTTGGGCTATGTTAGTGTAACTCAACCCGAAGGTTTCTTATATATATATATATATATCAGGCGCGGATCTAAGGGGTGGCCATTGTGGCCATGGCCACATAGTTTAAAGCCAGATTGATTTATAAAAAAAAATTATTTAATGCTTATCAAAAGTCTTTTAGATTTAGATATAATTATTAAGATATTTTTAAATATATGTAATTGAAAACGATTTTAGGACTTGCGTATCATTTTTCGTCGTTGATAAACTACGTCACGCTAAATTTAAATTTTAAAAACGCTGTAAACATCCGCTATATTATTTCAAAATTCTCTGCAATAGAGAGTCAATAATACTTATAAACTCTGCGTGACGTACTTTATGGATAACCCTTATCGGGTTATGGCCATAGAGATAAAATTTAACGGCAGCCAACTTAGCTTTGGGTTTCTTTGCTAGCGTAATATTCCTCAAAATTTCATTACGTCTGCCGTAATTTACGTAATTTGGCCATAGAGATTCCTGCCATGGCCACAACGGCTCCTATTATACGTTACCGACCTTTTATTCAATCGATAAATGCTATCAAATAAATAATAAAATATAGATCTTTCAACCGTGAAAATTAAACTTGGCCACACAGTTGGTTTTGACGTGTCCGATTTAGAAAAATGTTCTCTTATATAGTAGCTAACTAATTTGGGTTTTTTATTCGTTACCGTAACATTTTCATTAAAATCGTCTTTAGAAACTTAAATAGCGTGACTTTAATAACTTGATTTTTTAAAATTTATATAATATGAATCCATATTTAACTGAAGAACTAGTTGCTTGTGCAATAGAAACAAAGCATAGGCCTAATGTCTTAAATTACAAAACTAGACTCATTAAAGAGCTTTCGGAAATAAATTTAATGTTTCCAAGAATACACGATTCTTACCAATTTAACACAGATATGATGGATTTTGTACCCTTAAGTAAAAAAAATCTTGGTTATTTAGCATTGAGGTATTTTTTGTTTGTTTTGAGTTTTATGAAAGTATTATTTATTTAAAATAATATCACAAATTGGATCTAGATGTAAGATCAATGTTAGATTTTAATTTTATTTATTGGTATTTTAACACCAATAGAATATAAATCTGTGTTAATAATTAGTTAAACGTTTAACTAATTATTAACACAGATTTATATTCTTGATAATGAGTATGAAAATAAATTATTTATTAAACATACAAATAACCTAAAAAAAGTGATTTAGTTTTTTTTTAATTTAATTTTAATTTTTTTTTTTAATTTTTTTTTTAAATTATGGTATATACTAAAATGTAATATTAGTAAAAAAAAAAATATTTATAGTTGAACTATTTATTTTTTTGTTATTGATATTACATTTTAGTATATTATACTCATTATATTTTAATATATTTTACTATTTTTCTCAGATCTACTGAAGATGGAAATTGTCTTTATAGTTCAATATCTTTGATTTTAAATGACAATAATCATACTTCAAAAATTCTAAGATTACTGACATCAATTGAGTTATTTGAAAACATAAATTTTTACACAAGGTATGATTATTTTTGTAGTTATTTTAATCAACATAGATCTGAATATTCTCAGCTTTCTAATTTGTTTTTTATTGCTGTTTCGTTTAAATGCTCTGACAGTTTTTCAACAATTAATGATAATATGATTTCTGAACTTCTGTTAAAAGAAGCGTATTTAAATTGCTTTGATAAAACATTTTCATCTTTCATTTGTCTAATAGCATTATCTAATGTTATAAAGCAACCTATTGAATCTATTTATCCTGAAATCGGTTTTAAAAAGTATCATAGTTTTTTTAATACTCTTATAAAGCCTCGCATCCAAAAATTAAATTGTCCAATAAATATTTTGTGGTGCAATTTAGATAAAACAAAAAACCAAAGTATTTTATGTTTTAAGCCAAATCATTTTGTGGCACTGGTTAAAGATCTTTCTAAAAAACGTCCAGCTGTTGTTATGAGTGATCCAAGTTTACTTAGCATCAAAAAAATAAAAGTTTCTAAGTCTAGTTTTCCACCTACAGATAACAAAATACAGAAACCAATTCAGTCTAAATTATTTTTCCCTACTGTTTCTAAAAACACTTCAGATATAGATAAGTCTAGTTTTTGTAATGAAATAGTAAAAACTGAAGTAGTTATCTCAAAAAACGCCAACAACAATGATAAAAAGCAAATGAATCTTGAATCTAATGTTCCACAAAAGGAAAGCAATATTGTTGACATTAGTTTATTAAATACAAATCAGCTAGCATCTTATTCAAACTATGATGTTTCATCATACTGTCTACAAGGTGAAAAATTAAAATCAGGAACAAATGATCATGAACTTTTATCTCTAATTAATAATGTCTGGGTTCCGGATAAATGTTTCCAATTCCCTTTAACAGGTAAAAGCAGAAAAAGACGTTTTTTGCTAAAATGGCTAGATGATTTTTCTTGGCTTTGTTACTCTAAAATTGAAGATGGTGCATATTGTCTTCCATGTACACTTTTTGGTACAAATTTACCAAACAAATATGCATTATGTAAATTGTTTAAAGAACCATATAATACCTGGCGTAATGCTGTAAAAGTTTTCAACGATCATGAGAAAACTGTTGACGGATTACACATCAAGTCCATGCATTGTTATAATATGCTTTTATCTAGAGCTAAAAATAATACTTTTCCTATTGAAGTTTCTTTAGATAGTTCTAGGAAACAGCGTATAGAAGAAAACAAAAAAAAGCTTGAATCAATTGTTAAGACTATAATATTTTTAGGTCGAAGTGATATGCCTCTACGAGGTCATAGAGACGATAGAAAATATCAAGGAGAAATTGGAGAATCTTCAAAAAATACAGGGCTAGGTAATTTCATTGAGCTTTTAAATTTTAGGGTTGATGCAGGTGATTTAATTTTAAAGGAGCATCTTCTCTCTGCCCCCAAAAATTCCACATATATTTCAAAGACCATTCAAAACGAGTTAATTGAGTGTTGTGGAAATGCAATTGAAGAAGTTTTATTAAATGATATTAAAAAAAGTAAGTACTTTTCCATTATTGCAGACGAGGCTTCAGACTGTGCAACAATAGAACAACTTTCTATTGTCATACGTTATGTTGACTTGAACAGTAATATTAAGGAAGTTTTTTTACGCTTTTTTGAATGTAAAACAGGTACAAGTGGTTTAAGCATAGCTACCAATATTCTTGAAACTTTAAAAGAATTTGGTTTAGATATAAGAAAATGCAGAGGCCAGTCTTATGACGGAGCTGCTTCAATGTCAGGTGAATACAAAGGTGTTTCATCTGTTATAAAAAATGTTAATCCTAAGGCATTATTTGTCCACTGTGCCTCACATAAACTTAGTTTAGTTGTTGGGAAGAGTTGCCAAATCCAGCAAGTAAAAAATTTGCTTGAGCAAGTTAAAGACATAACTTATTTTTTTAACTTTTCTCCAAAAAGAAGTAATTGCTTAAAGAAATACCTTCTTCCTGGTCAAGCAAAACTTATTGACACATGTCGAACTCGGTGGGTACAAAAGCTTCGTGGACTTGATGTGTTTTTCGATAATTATTCTGCAGTTTTTTCTGCTTTTGAAGAAATGGAAGACAATAATTTAAAAGAGTACAATAAAGAAACATCTTCAAAAGCATCTTCTTTTATGAAGTTATTGACAAATTTTTCTTTTATAGTTTCTTTAGTTTTAACTAAACAACTAATGGATTACTTTTATGGAATTTCTGTTACTCTTCAAACTAAATCTTTTGATATTTCCCAGCAACTGGATGAAATTCAGAATTTGACTAATCGTTTAAGAGAAATGCAAAGAAATGCTGATGCTTACCATAATAAATGGTATAAAATTGCTCTTGCATTGGCTAAAACATTTGATATTGATGAAAAAAAACCTAGAACATGTGGTGTTCAGAAGCATAGAGATAATCAAATATGTGATACTGTATCTGATTATTTTAAAGTTTCTATTACATTGCCTCTTCTCAATCACCTTCTCAATGAACTAGAAAATAGGTTTGATATTGAGAGCTTAATTGTTTATAATGGTCTATGTGCTATTCCTGCTAGTTTAACAAAGCAATATTTTAGATCTTGTCCATGGAAAGAAAAATTCCTAATTTTTTTGAATTTTTATAAATCTGATCTTCCTCATTTCTCATCAATTAATGCTGAATTAGAGTTATGGGAGGAATTTTGGAAAGAAAAGACAGAATTACCATCTACTATTTCAGATACATTAAAGTTTATGGATATGAGAGGCTTTCCAAACATTTTAGAGGCTTTTCATATACTTGCTACAATACCAATCACAACTTGTGAGTGTGAAAGGTCAATATCTACTCTTAGGAGAATAAAAACTTACACTAGGAGTACTATGTCAGAAAATAGATTGAATGGGCTTGCTTTAATGTCTATTCATCAGGAAATAGTTCCTGATATTAACAGAGTTATTGAAATATTTGCATCCAAAGGAGATAGAAAATTAGAGTTTTTATTCAAATAAAAGTTTTTTTGTTTAAAGTATTAACTATTGTTTTAAAAGTATCTCTTAAATATAAATAATTTTTCAAAAGCAAAATATTTCTACTCATTGTTTTAAACATGTAAATTGTGAAAATCATTTTTCATTAGCAAATTATTATTATTCATTGTTTTATATAAACTGTGAAACTCAATACTTCATTTGCTATTTCAATTAATTCCTAATGTTGAGAGCGTTTTCAGGTGATTTAGGTTGTTACTTTTTTAGTTGTTACTTTATTTGTTGTATTATATTTTTTCTTGTTTATTTATTTATTAAAAAATAAAAGTAAAAAAAATTATAAAAATATTTAAAATATTTGTGCATAACTGCCTATCAAAAAAAAAAAAAAAAAAAAGAATCCAGAAATGGAGGGCTAACCTTAAATAAGATTACTAATACTTAAGTTAAACTGTTTATTAAGAAAAGGAAATAATCCATAAATAGAGCAGTAACTTTAGGAAACATTAATAATAATTAACTTAAATTGACTATCAAAAAAAGGGAAGAACCAGAAATGGAGGGCTAACCTTAGGCAACATTACTAATACTTTACTTAATCTGCCTATCAAGAAAAGGAAAGAATCCAGAAATGGAGGGCTAACCTTAGGCAACATTACTAATACTTTACTTAATCTGCCTATCAAGAAAAGGAAAGAATCCAGAAATGGAGGGCTAACCTTAGGCAACATTACTAATACTTTACTTAATCTGCCTATCAAGAAAAGGAAAGAATCCAGAAATGGAGGGCTAACCTTAGGCAACATTACTAATACTTTACTTAAACTGCCTATCAAGAAAAGGAAAGAATCCAGAAATGGAGGGCTAACCTTAGGCAACATTACTAATACTTTACTTAATCTGCCTATCAAGAAAAGGAAAGAATCCAGAAATGGAGGGCTAACCTTAGGCAACATTACTAATACTTTACTTAAACTGCCTATCAAGAAAAGGAAAGAATCCAGAAATGGAGGGCTAACCTTAGGCAACATGACAGTTTACTGATGGAGTGCAAAGTCCTATGGCTTACCTTCTCGTTGGTGCACTTCGTTAAGTGAGTTAGACAAGTATTATGTCTAATTTATGAACTAAATAGCCAAGGCAACAATTTAAATAACTTTATTGTTAAATAGATAACTAAAAACAGAAAAAATCATGACATCAATAGGGTGATGTCACCCCTTCTTTCTCAACTGAAAATATAAAATTGTATCTGGGAATTTTAGATATAGTTTAAAGTTAACAAATGTAAAAAATTGAGGCTTATTTATTTTTTTGTTCAAGGCACTTTACTCCCCCCCCCCTCAATCTCTTCCTATCACTTATTTTAAAAAAAAAAAAGCTCTTCGCGCCGTCCGCGAACCCAGATTTGGCCACATAGTTACAAAATCCTGGATCCGCCCCTGTATATATATATATATATATATATATATATATATATATATATATATATATATATATATATATATATATATATATATATATATATATATATATGTATATATATATATATATATATATATATATATATATATATATATATATATATATATATATATATATATACTTTAATAAAACATTTAATAAAACAATTACTGGCTGTTGTTTCAGAAATTACTAGATAATGGGTTACCCAAAAAACTTGTTAGTTTGCTTACATTTTGGTATAGTAATCAACAAATGTTTGTTCGATGGCAAAAAACAAAATCAAATAGTTTTAGAGTTGTCCCCACTTCTATTTAACTTTTACATACAGAATATGATTTTATTAATCTCAAAACTACGTATTGGATGTAATATAGGTGGCTTATGCTGATGATATGGTTTTAATTGCACCATCTTGGTATTCTCATCAAAAACTAATTAGCTTTACAAATAAGGAATCTTCCTTAATTAACATATTCTTTAACACAAAGAAAACTGTATGTATGGTGTTTAACCCAACTCAAAAATTATATCAAACTCCTTCCCAGAATTATGCATATCAGGCTGTAAAATTGTTTTTGTTGAATCTTTTAAATAACTTGGCCATATAATTAAAAATGACCTAACTGATGATCTTGATATAACCAAGGAGATGAAGGGTCTTTACACACGTACATATATTTTAACTAGACACTTTCATTTATGCTCTACCAGAGTAAAGGTTAAATTGTTTAAATCATATTACATTTGTTTATATGCTGCTCCTCTGCAGCAAAATTATAATGATAAAACAATGGCACGCCTTCATTATTGCTACAACAAATGTGCTAAAATGTTTTTTGGCTACAACAAGTATGATCTCATGCTTTTAGAGCACAGATTACCATCTCTTTATACAATTATCTCGAACTACAGACAGGCTTCTTGTCAAAAGTTGATAGCTTGTTTCTTAGTAAATAATTCCATGTGTTCTCTTAATCAAAGTTAAAAAAAATATTTTTCTTGTAAAAACTATGGACCTGGCACCTAAATTGTATCTGCCTGTTGTCTGAAATATATTTATAATAATAATAATAGCAATAATAATAATAATAATAATAATAATAATAATAATAGTAGTATATATATATATATATATATATATATATATATATATATATATATATATATATATATATATATATATATATATATATATATATATATATATGTATATATATATATATATATATATATATTTATATATATATATATATATATATATATATATTTATATATATATATATATATATTTATATATATATATATATATATATATATATATTAGTAAAAAAACTTATCTAACCAGTAAGAAATCTTTTTTCTTGGTTAGATGAGTTTTTGATGTTGAAGACAAAAATTAGATAAGTGTTTTAACTATTTTATTATTGCTGTTCTTAAGAACATTGAGCACTCTGTACTTGCAAAATGCTCTAGAATAACCTAACATTATTTAAAAAATTAAACAATAATTATACCTGTATTTCTTTTATTTTCTCTTTTGTTTTTGAGTACAATATTTTACAAGATTTATTATTATTCAACCATTAATTATCAGGATACAGCTGATAAATGTAAGTTGAAATAATAATTACTTTCATAAAACTACATGTGTCTCTATATCTTTCATACTTTGATTGATGAAAAACAATAAACGCTTAAATATCTTGTAATGTATGTCACCAAAATAGCAGAAAAAGAACTTAGTAACAACATATAAACTTAGTAGTTATATAAGTTAAAGCTTTTCGTACTTTTTATAAGTGGGATAAAAGTTTGTGACGCAGCAGAAATAAAACTTGGTAGTGTATGATTATCAATTTCAATCTACTATAATAAAGTCGATGATATTACTTTTGCAGTTGCGGAAGAAACCAACATATCCTGAGTTTTTTAAAAACTATGAAAATTTAAAACCATTTAAAAAATCTTTGATACAATATTTTTTTGTTATGTTTTACACTTATAAAGTTACTTTCTCACTGCTATTATAAAGTAAGATTGCATCAAGTTGTAACAATAAACATTCTAAAGTAACCAGAGTAAATATTAATTTTGACTTTCAGCAAAGTATATTGAACATAAGAAGATTAATAAAGGTAACAAGTTTATACAAAACAAATACAAATTATTAAACAGTCTGTTCTCCTATATTCTTTATTTCCATTCAACTCTAATTTTGTTCGTGCTTTTTTTTTTTTACTTTTTCAATTTTCAAACTTTCAAACATTTTAAAAATAACAATATGATTGAAATATGCAACTTTAATTTAGTCAATGTAAAAGAAGTGGTAAGTAAAGCAATAACAAATCTTCAAGCGCAATCTCTGTATTTTCAAATTCCGTTCAGTTTTCTGGGGCTTTCCAATATGGCGATTTTGGCGTCAATTTTGATATTAGAGATGCGCTATCCAGTTATTATAGAGATCAGTGAAACAGACGCAAATAGTCATTAAGACTAATTCAATATAGTTAACTCGATTATTGACGCACGTTTTTGCGTAGAAAGTTAAAGTTAAATAACCATAGTTAACCAAAGATGGCTTAACTATGAAAACATTTATAATTTGATTAAAACCAATAACATGACTTAATTGATTGCACTATTATTTATTATTATAACCATTATTATTATACACTATTATTATAACCATAACATGACTTAATTGATTGCACTACTATTGGAAATAAATTTGTTTTTGCAAAGATACCATTTTGTTCCAATTAAGGCAACTGGTTCCCTAAATTGGAACAATTTGATTCCTATATCAGAACAGGTTTAAAAAAAAAACAGTAAAATCATAGTCATAAGAAATACTTATTGTTAACTATTTCTTACGACTATGGTAAAATCAACAAAAATTGATTAAAAATGATTCTTATCTTTACAGTTGAAAATTTAAAAAATTCAAAACTAATAATAGGATTAATACTACCCAGTGGGCATTTCGACGTCGAACGAACGTCGAGCGACGTCGGATCTCGACGTCGGATCGACGTTGGGTTTACGTTGGAAATGGAAATGTTATTTGACGTCGGATAAACTGACATCGCGCGACGTCGGCATTCCGATGTAAATCCAACGTGTTTTTTGAAAACTAAAAAACGTTGCTTCAGGCAGGAATCGAACCTCGGTCTATTAGTAACTAAATGCAACGCGCTTACCACTACACCACAGGGACATAATAATGTTGCGTTTATTTAGTAATTTATAGTTGTAGCTGTTTGGGAATTATTTCTTTGATAAGAAATAATTTTGTTTAAATATTATATAAATATTAAAACGAATAGTTATATATTATAAAAAATGTATACTCGAAAATGTTAATAGTTAAAAAACTATGCTAGTGCATCATACAAAACCTCATGATGTTTTATCAACCATTATTGAAACTTCTTTCCATTAATAAAAAACACGCTTAGTTCACATATTTATTGAAGAGCGCAATTGCACACATATTGTTGGGTTTAGACTAAATTTTCATCAGCGATGTATTACGACGTTGTCCCGACGTCGTT